AATGGATACTCTGGAACACCAAATTCCATACATTGGGTACCACAACTGAGAAAACTCTGCTCCATGCACCTATACTCATATATTATCCAGCCACTGATGGGAAACAATAAAGGACCAATTTGGATAACCATACAAAAAAGGGGGGTTCATATGAGAAGAAATAGTCCTTAAGATACCATAGATGATTCCACACTGTAGAATAATGTAGTTTGATAGCACTTTAACTACCATGGCTCAATGCTATGGAATTATGAGAGTTGTAGTTTGATGAGACACCAGTATTCTTTGACAGAGAAGGTTCAAGGCTTATATGATTGCTTTTAATATATTTTATGTATTAGTGTGTTATAGGGTGTGATGTTTTTAAACTACTGTTTATGAATCTTGTTGTAAACCGGCCTGAGTCCCTCCCCGGAGGTCAAGAAGACCGGTATATAAAAGTTCTAAATAAATAAATTAATAAATATAACTCCATGATTCCATGGCATTGCGTTATTCCAGTTGAAGTCATTGGAATTCAACCCCACACTGCCCAGGTCTCCAGTCCTCAATGAGGAACAGTATAAAACATACTCTGATTATGTAGAATGGATACCTTTTAAATGCATGCCTTTAGTTTCAGACTTCTCTTTTTACATGTTAGTATGATGCGTGTTTTGAGATCTCTCTCTGCTTGTGTGTCAGGAGAGATGTAGAGCTTTGTGATTTTCCCCTCTCTTTTTAAACTCTAGAAGAGAATGAGTATAGAGTAGCTCAGACCCAGTTATTTACTATTAAGAAATGTAGTTATTATTTTTTAATGTAAATAAACCTTTTGTAAATTATAAAGACTGGACTCTGCATCTTTGCCAGCCTAAGCTCTACATTCTTTACAGCCACAACCAACTGAACTTCATACTCTGCTTGCTGTGAGCTGAATGCTCAACTATAAGTATCCTGTTTGTGTTTTGGATGCTCTGCTGTTTTTTGGGTAGTTTTCCCTAACAGAACTTGTGTCAAACTGTATTAGTTCTATAGCAAAAATGCACCCCTGATTGTTAGGGAGCCAGTCACAAGACTTGCATTAAGATGAAAAATAGTCCAGCAAGAAATTAAAATGATGTAAATTCAATGTAAGAGCCCAGTCAGTAGACACAATTCTCTGTAAGACACCAGATGACATTTGAGAACATTATTCAGAGGCAGCCTCCCACATAACACACTAATTTAAAGCAGTCTGGATGTAACCATGGCAATGGTAACAGGACCCAAATATATCTTTTCTAAGAAGGGGGAACAGCAGGTATGTCAGCTGCAGCTAGTTACAGCTGCCACCCGAGCTTTCAAGATCACATCTGGTCCAAAAAGCATTGCTAAACTGAGAACCCAATTCTTACACTGGTGCAGAAATTTTACCAAAAACTGACTCTACTGACTTAGGACAGAGGATTGTCATTTATTTACTTGATTTTTATCTTGCCTTCCTCCCAATATAGGCACTCATCCAAAGGGCAAAAATTCTCCCCTAGGGCTAGACCAGTGGAACAGAGAATGCCCTTCTCCCAAGTTTCAATCCTAAAGTTAAGATAGGATAATCATTGGTCTACCAAATATTCTGCCTAGTATTCCCAGAATCCCTCACCATTGCCCATCTTGGCCAGGGAAGTCAAAATATATTGGGACGGGGAGCAAATGCTCCCTATCTCTGTAGAAGTGAGAACCATGTTGCACTCCAGGCAGTTGGTTCCCACTCCTTCAAGGATGCTGGAAATAATTCCATGCTTCAGAATTAAAATAGTTTGATCCCACATTAACTGTCATGGTTCCATTCAATAGAATTCTGAAATTTTTAATTTGGTGACATCTCAGAGCTCTTTGGCAATAAAGTCTAGATATCACACAAAATCACAAGTCCCAGGATATAATAGGATAGAGCCATGGTAATTTTACTGGCTGCCAACACAAATCCACACACAGGCAAAGGAGGTAGGGAACATGACTTTCAATCGCCTCCTCTTCTGTCTTACTGATAACCTAGAGACCATCTCCTGTATATGACATTCAGCTAGATCTCCAAGCTGGAGCTCAAATGAAATGATTTCTCAAAGTTTATCACCCTTTTGAAGGTATCAACTGAAATAAGAATCATTTCATTGATTATCAAGGATTGTGGCAAGGTTTTTCAAATGATTTTGTCAACAAGGGTTGTTTCCTGAATGTGTGATAGTTTCCTAATGCTTCCCCACCAGCACCATTTTACCACTTACTACTGTCACTACCAATAACTATTAAGGCCACCATGTATCCAACATTGCTTATTATGATTCTATACATTAATCACCATAATAATCAATTACTATTATGTATAATGCATAACAATTTACTTTACAATTCAATGTTCTTAATTGGAAGAGTGTGGGCTGCCCAAACCAATGTAGAAAGCATCAGAAGGGAACTAAGGAAAAGGACATTGCACAATATACGGTGAGCATCTGAGCCACAGATGGGGAAAATGTGCACACACATCTGTTCCATCTGTTTTCCCACTATAGTCAAATATACCATAGGTGTTCCAAAATAAATCTGACTGCAGGGTTCTCAACCTGTAGGTCCCCAGAATTGTTGGCCTTCAACTCCCAGAAATCCCAACAGCTGGAAAACTGGCTGGGATTTATGGGAGTTGTAGGCCAAAATACATGGGAACCCACAGGTTGAGAACCACTGCCATAGAGGAAACTGACCAAAACCACCAGGGGACTGCAGCAAACACCCCGTCCTTTTGATAAAGCTGTAACCTGCTAAAGCTACAAATATTGGCCAATGACCGAACAGAGAGCACTAGATTTTATTGTGGTGGTCAAAGGAGGGAGGCATAGGTCTCCAGACAAAAAAAAATGGTGATACATTAAAATAACAGCTACTTTCCAGTCACAATGCCAGTTTCCACCACCTTTCCAACCATAATGCCATATGTTAGTGAGATTCCACCACCATGTGACAAGGTTTCTGTATAGTATGCTATGAAAATATTATTTATTTCAATCGGGTGACACATACAACAACATGAGATAGTCAAGCACCTGTACTTGGCACAACATTCACAGATACCTTTAGCTTTCTTTTTAGACTTTTCCATCTGACCTTATCTTAAACACTCATTCCAAATGCCATTTTCTGCACTAAAATCTATGATAAACATTAATTTGTTCATAAATTGCCTTTAGTGTATTTTGACAGGGACTCAAACTTCGCGTTGCCTTTACGCAGATAAAACTTCTTCATTGCCTTATGATGGCTCAGGCAGCCTCAAGAAACAAAGAGAATCAATAAGAGTGAAAGTCTTCTGAAAGGCGTGTGGCCATATCATTGTGATGGCACTGGTTTAGAACGTTCAGGTGGGTGACACATCCTTCCCCACCACCATGTGGGCCTTTGCTTCATCACTGTCTTGCAGCTTGATCTTGCAGATTCCTCATCAGGGCCGGGAGAGCAGGAGTGTCCTATATAACTTGTATACCCCCCTTTGCCTTTCTTTCCCCAGTTCTCATGTATATTAGCCTTCCTGCACTTTTTAGGTGTTAATTGGGGCAGCATGTTATTGAGCCCTCAAATTAACACTAGATATTTTTTATATTAATGGTTCTCTGGTCGATTCTGGAGAAATATTAATATGAAAAATAGCCAGTGTTAATTTATAGCAACACCAGAGGCACTCAAAGTGGCCAGCTAAAGGTCAAAAGACATTTAATAGAATGTCAAGTTTGCAAACTTTGTGTGTTTTTTTTTTAAAAAAAAACAATTGTTTGGTTCGCTCCTGACATGATAAATAAATAAATATTAATGTTAGTGCAGATAGCCCCCTCACCATCAAAAAAGAGAAGTAGGGAAGGGAGAGAGGGAAGGATTCGGATGAAAGGAAAAGAAAGAAATGGGAAGAATCCCATAGTATTTTTTCACTTCCCTAACCAAGGTGAGAAGGCTGGAAATGTTACATTTAAATACTATGCAGCTGTAACACGTCTGTATTTTTGCCTAGCTTTTTGGACAGGTTAATTGAACCCTTGCTGGAGGTTAGAAGATGTCAGCCTTTGAAAAATGTTGTACATAGCAAGTGTGCAAATGTCACAGGTGTTCTTACTGAAACAACATCAATGACAAATAGGATTAAGGGCACATAATGACTCATTGAGTAATATATTATTATTATTAATCAGCCATTATCAAGACCTCAAAATCGAACTGCAAAGGCTCTGGCATAAACCAGTACAGGTGGTCCCAGTGGTCATCGGCACACTGGGTGCTGTGCCAAAAGACCTCCGCTGGCATTTGGAAACAATAAACATTGACAAAATCACAATCTGTCAACTGCAAAAGGCCACCTTACTTGGATCTGTGTGCATTGTCTGAAAATACATCACACAGTTCTAGATGTTTGGGAAGTGTTCGACTTGTGATTTTGTGATATGAAATCCAGCATATATATCTCATTTGCTGTGACATACTGTGTTTTTGTGTCAGTAAAATAATAATAATAGCTTTATTTATACCTTACCACCATAACAACAACAACTTTATTTTTGTTCCCTGCCTCCATCTCCCCAAAGGACTCAGCGCGACTTACAGAAGCACATACAAGTACCATAATGCATAAAAATAGAGGTAAAATTACATCAACATATGCAAACAATGACAACATCAGTTAAGATATGGTAATAATAAAACATTTTGGACTAGCATTTTCTGTTCCTCTGTATACACAGAGAAGGGAAAAAATTCAAACACCAGGCATTTCTCTTGATGTCTGGACCAAAGCCAAACAACTAGCCTATTCTCATCAACAGTTTTAAAGAGCATTACTAGTTGAAGGTTTCTGCAAATCACTGATTTTTCTTTCTAAACATGACAAAGTTCTTTGAAACTGATTCTGAATTTCAATTCTATTTTAACCCCAACCACATTGACTCATATCAGGATAGTATCACTTCAGTGTGGAATTCTTTTTTCAAAAATGGCTAACTCACTGGAATCCACATATGCCCATGTGGGATGGAGAGGGACATTCAAGGGGGGAGGGAAGGCCCCTGCCTTCACCCCTTCTGCTGAGGTGGCCTCTTCATAGGTTGGAGGTGCTGATGGCACTGTCCCGCTGTCCTTTTTCTCGGCATTCCCCTGCTGCCCTTCAGAGTTGGCAGGCTTGTTATTCACGGAAAGCTGTTGAGCAAAACATAAAAGAAAAAAGTAAGATTTTTTTTGCAACTGCCCATCCCTAATGCAATAGCTGCTGATTGTTGGTGGTAGGAGTATGGCTGTGAGATAATAAATTCATGTGAAAGGTAGTGCTGGAAGAGAGTTCTACAGATACCATGAATTGTTTAGAAAAAAAACAGATGAATGGGCTCTAGAACAAATTAGGCCAGAACGCTCTCTAGAAGTCAAAATATTATATTGAGTTTGTTGTATTTTGACCATATCATGAGATGTGATGCTCACTACAACAGACAATAACGCTTGGTAAGGTGGAAGGCAGTAGGAAAAGAGGAAGACATCAGCATTGGTGGGTAAATTCAGTCAAGAAACCCATGACCTGCGCTTGCAGGACTTTAACAAGACTTTGACAGGGAGAGTTGGAAGTCTCTCATTCATTGGACTACCATAAGTTGGAGTCAATCTGATGTCAGTGAATGACAATCACAAGAATTTTGGCATGGGATCTTGAGGAGGCTTCCTGGGCTGGACATGGTGGGGAGGACAAACCATAAATTCACTGGCTCTTTGACCTCCTCAGAGAACTGTTTGCTCCATGAGACCACAGCTATTCTTATTCTGAAAAATGCATAGAATACTCATGGAGAAATGCTGCAGGATTGAGTGGTGCGTAACTCACTGTTCATTTGAAGGCTGAGAACAGGACTTGTGTTTCACAAGGCTATCCCTGCCATTTGTAATTAAAATCAGTAATAATTCTGAATTGTGGAAAATCAGTCTAAGCAAACAGAAGATTGCTGCATAGGCAAGGTTGATACTTGTTTCAACATGGCTTCATCTCAAAGAGATGTTCACCCACACAGCCATTTGCAGGCCCTAATGGGAATGGGTTTTACAAATTTATTTCAGGTAAGGAAGGTTATTTTTCCATGTTGCAAACTGCATTCATCCCTAAGAAAAGTCACCAAATGTACATATTTTGGCATACATACATAATGTTTATGTATTTGTTTTCTATGTATCAAATCAATATTATGGGAATGGAGTTTTGTATAACACCATCATGGGCAAACTTCAGCGCTCCTGGTGTTTTGAATTTCAACTCCCACAATTCCTAACAGTCTATTGGCTGTTAGGAACTGTGGGAGTTGAAGTCCAAAACACCCAGAGGGCCAAAGTTTGCCCATGCCTGGTATAACATCACACTCTCAGTCATTGGGAGAGTCTGCACTTTAGAACAGAATTTGAAAGAGGGAATCTGAGCTGAGAAATTTTCATTCATTGAGATTTTTTTGTCCTCAAGGAAGGGAAGGTTTGGTATGTTGTTAGCAAATACCCTGATCCCCACTCTCCCAACCACTATTTAAGGCTGTTCTCATGTATCCCCGTCAGCCTTTCCCAATGCATTGTTCCTCCCAGTTGGACTAAAAACCCTTTGCTTTTTGTTGATTAGGTGAGCTCTATTGTTGGCACATGTCGTTTTGGTTTGTTAGCCACAGTTCTGAAAGATGGTGGAAGGAAGGGTACAAATAAATTGAATACAATTAAGCACATCCAAATTTAAATTGCACACATCTTAGACAGATCACTAGTGCTTTTTTTACATGAAGGTAAAATAAATGTTAATTGTCTAGATCAGAGGTGTCAAATTTATGGCCCTCTAAATGTTTCAGACTCCAACTCATCCCTTACTAAGAGCCCTGCAAATATATTTGCAACATCTTTCCTTAGTGAGTGATCTGGTGATTTTGAAACCTTTCTACATTTTGGTAATAAATGTTTGGTTGAATCAAGGCATTATACTAATATGGATGCCATGATCATCCAACATGGATCAGCTTTATCAGCAATGGCAATCTAAGGGTGAAGTTGGAGGCCAATTTCCCTGACCTGGATTGTATAGAGCAGTGGTTCTCAACCTGTGGGTCCCCAGATGTTTTGGCCTTCAACTCCCAGAAATACTAACAGCTGGTAAACTGGCTGGGGTTTCTGAGAGTTGTAGGCCAAAATACCTGGGAACCCTCAGGTTGAGAACCACAGCTCTGAGGACAGCTGGAATCTCACCTCTAGATTTGGTAGAGAAAACCCTTATTTGTCTGACACCATGCCCTGCAGGGTGGAGGTGCAATATGTTTGAAAGGGGTAATGCCTCTTCTTTTTGGCATCTACATACACTTTAAAAAAACAACCATTGTTGCAGCACTCTGTTACACAAAACTATTTCAAGATAATGTATGTTAAAGGCTATTCAGCTATTATGGACCAGCAAAGGCCTCCCTACCACTCTTTCAAGCAGCCACACAACTAGTGCCGCTTGGATTATCACAACTCAATACATGGCAGCTAAATAACCACGAATATCACAACTGACAAAGGCAAGGAGTTAATCCTGGCATTGCATCTCTCTAATGCCATCTGGATTTGACGATGACCTAATTAAAAAGAAGGAAGCACTGAGAAAATGATGGTATAGAGGGGATGGATGGGAGGGAAGGCATTTTCTTCTTTGAAAGAAAACAAAAAAAGATAAACCCCACTTGCCTAGTTTCCAACAGACCTGAGGATGTCTGCCATAGATGTGGGTGAAATGTCAGGAGAGAATGCTTCTGGAACATGGCCAGACAGCCCAGAAAACTCACAGCAACCCAAAACAAGACTGTCCCTTTTCTGTCTAAAGAATTTGCTAAGAGAATAGCCTGGCTGTTTTGCAGGAGAGGTTTTTAATATTCCCTTCCTGTCCCATGCATAGTATGGTAAGCAAAGGCATTCCTCTGCACCCATAACATCAAGACACACTATATCTTGTTCAACAAGTAAGATTTAGGAGAAATCCCTACTGAGGTTGCATAGCTCATGTTAACAAACAAACAAGGGACATGCCTCACAAGCAGCAGGACACCTCCTATAGATTCCTTCCAAAGTTTCTAAACTGAACATATGGCTCCAAAATTGGAGCCTTCAACTCCTGGAGATATTAACCTGATGCTGTTACTATGAGTCCCTTGGCAACAGATCTCCTGGAAGAGGGCCAAAAGGATGGGATGGACAGGCCTCTCCCCCATATAGCCATCTCTTGACTTGGGGAAAGAAGATGATGGTGTCCCAAAGGCTCAAGGTTCTGATAGGAGCAAGGAAGGATAGGAGCTGAGGTAACTTCGTGGACAGCCATGCCATTATAGGGTTGTTGTAAGTTTTTCGGTCTGTATGGCCGTGTTCTGGAAGCATTCTCTCTTGGAGTTTCACCACCATCTATGGCAGGCATCCTCAGAGGTTGTGAGGTCTGTTGGAAGCAAGGCAAGTGCGGTTTATATATCTGTGAAATGTCCAGGGTGCGAGAAAGAACTGATGTCTTTTTGAGACAGGTGTGAATGTTGCAGTTTGCCCTCTTAATTAGTATTACATGGCCTTGTAGCTTTAAAAACTGGCTTTTCTTTCTCCTTGGATATATACACCCCATTTTCTTAGTTTCCAACAGACCTCAAAACCTCTAAGGATGCCTGTCATAGATGCAGGCAAAATGTCAGGAGAGATGCTTCTGGAACATGGCCATACAGTCTTAAAAACTTACAACGACCCAGTGATTCCAGCCATGAAAGCCTTCGACAATACATGCCATTATACATTAGCTGACATACACAGGGAGAAGGAGAGAAAAAGGAAAAAGAACTAGGAGAGGAAGAAGAGGAAAGGAAGAGGAAGGAGGAGAGGAAGCAAGGAGAAAAGAGAAGAAGAGAAGAAGGAGCCCTTTCTCTCATCTCTGATGGGATCAGGCAGAGCTGCTTCCTTCAGCACCACATGATGATGCCTGCCCATGAGGATGACTTACTCTAGTGCAGTGTTTTTCAACCTGGGGGTCAGGACCACTGAAGGAGTTGCAAAGGGGGGTGTCAGAGGGGTTGCCGAAGACCATCAGAAAACACAGTATTTTCTGTTGGTCATGGGGGTTCTGTGTGGGAAGTTTGGTGGGGTTCAGAATGGTCTTTGATTGTAGGTGAACTATAAATCCCAGAAACTACAACTCCCAAATATCAAGGTTTGTTTTCCCCAACGTCACCAGTGTTCACATTTGGGCAGATTGAGTATTCGTGCCAAGTTTGGTCCAGATCCATCATTGTTTGAGTCCAGAGTGCTCTCTTGATGTAGGTGAACTACAACTCCAAAACTCAAGGTCAGTGCCCACCAAACCCTTCCAGCATTTCCTGTTGGTCATGGGAGTTCTGTGTGCCAACTTTGGTTCAATTCCATCATTGGTGGAGTTCAGAATGCTCTTTGATTGTAGGTGAACTATACATCCCAGCAACATTGGTGGGGTTCAGAATGCTCTTTGATTGTAGCTGAACTATAAATCCCAGCAATTACAACTCCCAAGTGACAAAATCAATCCCCTCCCCAACTCCACCAGTATACAAATTTGGGAGTATTGGGTATTTGTGCCAAATGTGGTCCAGTGAATGAAAACACATCCTGCATGTCATGACTGTAGCAAAATTGCAGTTATGAAATAGCAAGGAAAATAATGTGGTTGGGGCTGACCACAACATGAGGAACAGTATTAAGGGGCCACAGCATCATTAGGAAGGTTGAGAAACCTTCCTAATTCCCAGTGCCATTCTGTTCCCGACCTACCTTTCCCTGCGTCATCTTTTTCTCTGAGGTGATGCTCCCTTCTCTGGGCGAAAGAAAAGAGAGAGCTACTGGCGACCCTTTAAAGACACACAGAGACCCGGGGGCTCCTTGTCACGCGGCTGTCCCTGGCTGCCCCGTGGTCCTCCTCCCCGGGGCCCTTGGCGCCTTCCCTCGGCTGCAGCCTGCGATGCTCTCCGCTTTCCAGCAGCATCTAGCTCGCCTGGCCGGGCGGGTGGGGGGACTGTACCATTCCCAAGCCTCGAAGAGGGGAGAGGATGCTTCTGGGGGAAAGCAGAGGCGAGGGAGGCAAGGAGAAGGGGAGGCTGCGAGGAGGAGAAGGGGAGGGGAGGGGAGGGGAGGGGGGCCCGCAGTGACTGCGAGGCTGTGACGTGGGCTCGTCCCCCGCGGGATGCTGCAGCCAGCCAAAGTCACAAGGCGAGAGAAAGAGCCAGCAAACGCCAGGCTGCAGCAGAAGGCCCTGGACCCTGGAAAAGTGGGGAGAGGACACGCAGCCAGAGAAAGCCAGGCAGGCAGGCAGGCAGGGAGGGAGAGCGGATGCAGCTGGGAGAGATGCTCCGCTGAGATGCGCCACTTTGCTGCAGCAGGAAGAGCAGCCCAGCCCTTGGATTCCTGTAGCACTTCCAGCCTCTCTCAGGGCCTTTCCACACAGCCCTATATCCCAGAATATCAAGGCAGAAAATCCCACATTATCTGAATGCCAACTCAGATAACCCAGTTCAAAGCAGATATTGTGGGATTTTCTGCCTTGATATTCTGGGATATAGGGCTGTGTGGAAGGGGCCTAAGTTCTGCCCTTGCTCTATGCTACTCTGCTGCTGAGTACGCATGCCCAGTGTGGAACACATCTCACCACGCTAAAACAGTGGATGTGGCTCTTAATGAGACATGCCGCATTATCACGGGGTGTCTGCGCCCTACACCACTGGAGAAATTACACTGCTAGCCGTATTGCACCACCTGACATCCGCCGGGAAGTAGCAGCCAATAGTGAAAGGACCAAGGCAGAGACATCTCCAGCTCATCCCCTGTTTGGGTATCAGCCAGCACGTCAACGACTTAAATCTAGAAATAGTTTTCTAAGATCTACAGAGACACTCACTGGAACACCTCAGCAAATGAGAGTCCAAAAGTGGCAGGCTCAAACCCAGAACCTCAACCAATGGCTGGTACCAAATGAGAGACTCCCTCCTGGCCACACAGAAAACTGGGCGACTTGGAAGGCGCTGAACAGACTGCGCTCTGGCACCACGAGATGCAGAGCCAACCTTCAGAAATGGGGCTACAAAGTGGAATCCTTGACATGCGAGTGTGGAGAGGAGCAAACCACTGACCACCTGCTGCAATGCAACCTGAGCCCTGCCACATGCACAATGGAGGACCTTCTTGCAGCAACACCGGAAGCACTCCAAGTGGCCAGATACTGGTCAAAGGACATTTAACCAGCTACCAAACTCACAAGTTGTGTATTTTTTCTGTTTGTTTGCTTTGTTCTGTTAGAAATGTAATATAATGGACTGGTTGCTCTGACACGACAAATAAATAGTGGTTCTCAACCTTCCTAATGCCGTGACCCCTTAATACAGTTCCTTATGTTGTGGTGACCCCCAACCATAAAATTAGTTGTAGTTCACCTACATCCAGAAAGCACTGTAGAGTTAAACAATGATGGATCTGGACCAAACTTGGCTTGAATACTCAATATGTCCCAATGTGAATACTCATGGCATTTGGGGGAAATTGACCCTGACCTTTGGGAGTTGTAGTTGCTGAGATTTATAGATCACCTACAATCAAAGCACATTCTAAACCCCACCAGCAATAGAATTGGGCCAGGCTTCCCACACAGAAACCCCATGACCAACAGAAAATACTGTGTTTTCTGATAGTCTTTGGTGACACCTTTGACACCCCCTTGCAATCCCCCCAAGGGTCCTAACACGCAGGTTGAGTAACACTGGTCTAGCTCAAGGAGATGAGATCCCAGTATCCCATTTGGTCTGGACTCTATAAGAGCCAAGATCTCTTCTGCCTCGATTCCAACTCGGTAATTTTAATTACTGCCTCTACACAGACACACACATTTTATGACCAAAAGCCTTGTTGTTTTATGTATTTACTTACTTTTACAAATACCCAAGTGTCTTCTTGCATGATTGTTATAAAAATAGACCTCCCCCCCCAAAAAAAAATGAATTATGAGATGCAATTCCATGGGGATATACAATGTGCACGCCTTTGCCTTTTCCATTTCACCCTGTGATAACCCTTCCTGAATTCCTTTTGCATGTTGCTTTGCCATACCTTGGACTCCAGGAAATGATGCCTCCAAATTACCACAACCCTTTTACAACAGTGGTTCCCAATCTGTGGTCCGTCAACCACCAGTGGTCCACAAGAATGAAAATAAGGTCTGTAGCTTCACCATTACTACACAGTTGCCTTGAAACCACGCAGCAACAAGAGCGCTGGTCTGGTGAAACCCTCTTATAGTGCCGAGGCAACGGGGATGTTTGGAGGGGAGAAGATACACAAGGAGAAGAAGAGGAAGATAAAAGATTACTACTACCACATCAGCTCTAGATTATTAAATATGGTTTTATGTGGGTGAGCAGATGGCAACTACTGGATGGAATATGTTCTGTATCAGAAACTAGATTTGATGTAGTCTATCCAATGCAATTTTTAGTTCTTGCAGACTACTGATGATCCACGGACCACAGGTTGGGAACCACTGGTGTAGATGCACCCAACAGCTTGCCCAAGAACATCTAGTGGGTTTCCTAGCTAAGAGAGGATTCAAACTCTCACATCCAGAGTCATAATCCAATCCTGAAACCAGTGCACTATACTGGCTCCTTATTTTTCTAGGAAGTCACTGCACACCAGTAATCATCACACATGGACCAGTGTTGGTCCATGGGCCATTACTTTGAGTAACCCCAGCATATGCACCAAGCAATAAATTCTTGGAGGAGAAATGTATTTCTCTTAATCACTGACCCCTTGAGAGAACATTGCTTTCTTAATTGCATTTTCTTCTTTCCTTTGCTACTTCCAGAAAGAACATTGCAAAGAATAGATCGGCCTTGGCCATAGGGGTCAAGAATCTGGTTTTGGGGGTAGGGAATTCACTTTAGTTTCCTTGGGAAGCATTCTCTGTTTTCACTTATGTTTTCACAAGAACAATTTCGTGGTTTAGTGGTAGTCGTTTCTTTCCGGCTTCTTGTCAGTGTCAAGCATGACAAGTTTCATCAAGAACGTTCTCCATAAGGAGATCTTCACGATGGAGAGACCGATAAACAACCACAAGCCACAGTAATCCAAAGCCAGACTGCAAAGTGCAGTGTAAAAACGAGAAAGCTGGCAACCAATTAACCACAGAACCCAACAAACTTAATTTACAAGGCACCACCTATAACCACTTCCAGTCGTCAGTGAAAAGGCACCAATGATTTAATCTCACAACCCACAAGGTAACTGAGTATTGTTTTGTTTACATAAATAAATAGTATATTTAATGCCTGCCACATAGAAGAACTAGCATTGTTGATCAAATTACAAGTGTCTGCAATGAAGAAAGGCATGACTGATGCTCTGTAAGCATGAGCTTTAAAAAGGCAATTTGTAGGGTTGTGTGTGTGTGTGTGAATAGTCCAGGCCTAGCCTGGGGCAATATGTATGTTTACCTGGTAGTGGCAAGGGTAATTTATTACAGCCAGGAGATCAATGAGAGATAAGCTTATGCTGCTAAACTGTAACCATGGGGGAAATGAAGGATGCATTATAAGTCATCCTTGATGGTCATGGCTACAAAGATAACATTTGAGGTCTTCTCGTGCCAATCCAAAGATCTGTAAGAACAGAAATAAAACCAAATAACATTTTTCATACAGAGCAAATAATGGAAGGACAGAAGCTCTAGAACTGAGTAGATACTTTAGACCTGCTGGCCTCCAAGGAAATGAAAGATGAGCACATCTAGGAGAGATAGGGAGAGAATGTGTAAGAGAGAAGGGGGGGAGGAGGAGGAGAGGTGTAGAAGGGGGATTGTGGGCAAGGTCTGCTGAAAAAGACAAGTGAAGACAAAAGGGGAGGAAACTGGAAAAAAAGATGACTGCAGAGTGAAGGAGGAAGTGAATGAAGGCAGGAAATGGGAGAGAAGGAGAAGGAAGAAGAGAGAGAGAAAAGGGGGAGACATTTGTCCAGGATTTGTGGAGGGGAGGAGAAGGAGAAGGAGAAAGAACAAAAAAGTGAAATCAAGAATTGAAAGATTAAGGAATTAAGTGGTTATACAGAGTCGAGGAAGAAAGACATTTATATTATGCTTTTTGCAAAACAAAAGAGCAGATATATGACTGACCAAGAAGAAAAATATACTGTAGCTTCAGCCACTTAGGGTGGGGTAAAGAAGATGAAGCAAAGACCATACTAGATCTTTTAAGTCTTTTAGAAGGAAGCCTTTGTCTGTCTAATCCAGATTTGGAAGATCCAGTATTAGACAGCTTTGAGCATTCACCCTTGCTTTTAAAATATAGGTGGTTTAATTATAGTGTTGTTCTTTTGACAGTGCATGATCTTTGTGTAGACAGCTATCTGTGAAATTGCTGTTATTCTAATTTAACGATAAAGTATTTCTATTCTGCATGAAATTTGGAACTATTGCCCCCTGGTGCTGCAGCGGGTTAAACCACTGAGCGCACTGAACTTGCTGACGGAAAGTTTGGCCGTTCGAATCTGGGGAGCGGGGTGAGCTCCCGCTTTTTGACCCAGATTCTGTCAACCTAGCAGTTTGAGAACATGTAAATGTGAGTAGATCAACAGGTGCCGCTTCTGCAGAAAGGTAACGGCACTCCATGCAGTCATGCCGGCCACATGACCATGGAGGTGTCTACAGACAAAGCTGGCTCTTCAGCTTAGAAATGGAGATGAGCACTACCACCCAGAGTTGGACTAGACTTAATGTAAGGGGAAACCTTTACCGTTACTGCTAGTAGTTGGGAAAACTTCCCTGCTCTCATACTAAACATACTCTTTGTAAAACAGCATCCTATGAGAAGTATGTAAGAAAATAATGTACTCTCCAAATGAAGGTTTAGGTCATGTTAACCAACTGGCAGTTTTTTAAACTACAACTGGAAATATCTCTGTCTGGATCTTTCTAAGCCATCTTAACTCTTTCTGGATCTTGTTATTTTATTAATCAGCTAGTTTATGTACCTGGCATTTTCTAATGCTGTTTATTAGAAATACTCAGTCTTTGTTTTATGAATTCTCCCATTGGAAAATGTATACCCATATAATAAGAACTTTTATAAATTAGTATAGAGGATGGG